ATATATATATATGTATATAAATTAAAACTCTGATGAACCAGATTCTATAAAAACATTAGATTTAAATTTTTATAGGTTTTCATCATCATTTGATGTATTTGCACTTATTGTCTACTTTTAATATTCATTTTAAATGTGTGGTTTTCTTTCTTGTTCACATATATACATTTTATTTTTAGCTTTGCTTTAAAGTTCTTGTTTTGTGATTTGTACATTTGTGGGTTAAAATAAAGTTGAACTGAAGGTCGTCTCTTTTCTTTAAACATGTTTGAGGGAATTATTCCTGAGATCCAATAGTTTTGTGTCTTTTTATGATTTTCAGCTGAGTTAACAGTCATTAAAGTGAAAACAGGATTTCATGATGAAGCTGGCACCGTTTTTTTTAAATTTTTTTTATCTTCAACGCTCTGCTGGTCTCGCACGACACTGCCCGCAGTCACACGATCCTCTCCTCCGGAGACGGGACGGGCAGGCTCATCTTCCCAGCTCCAGCTCAGCTGGTGACTGACAGAAACCGTTCCAAGACCCCAGCCACGCGTAATCATGAAGGCCCGACCCGCACAGACAGGCGGACAGAGACGGGTCTGCGACGAACGGTGGAAGCATTTTAAAAAACATTTTACGTGTAAAAAAAAATAATAATCATTTTTAAATCGCTTCAGCAATTTTTTAAAACATTTTTTGTATAAAAACAAAATATTATTTTATTTAAAAATCGCTTCCACCGTCCGTCCCAGACTGTCCAGTCCACCTGACTGCCGGGTGGGATCGGGATTCAGCCTTCATGATTACGCGCGGCCGGGGTCTCGCAACGGCCTTCTGCGAGTCCCCATCTCCAGCTTCGCAGTGACCAGCGGAGCTCTGAGCACACAAGGCTGGTATCTGGAACCCGAGCCTCCGAGTCGGCACATCGAAGGATCTTCCGCGGCGACTAGCTGAACTTGGAGCCGGGGAGATGACGCCCTGCCCGGCCTGGCGCTCCGAGGCTCCGGAGGGAGGATCGGGGTACACCAGCAGAGCTCCATCCAGCAGAGCTCCATCCAGCTTGCTCTGAATTATGTTGTCAGCCACCAAGCACAAAAAATGCCAGCACATCAACATTAGACCAAGATGTTGTCAGTATTGTTTTTAAAATCTTTAAAATAAGTCCAGCCACTGCTCCAGTCCGAGAAATTGCAAATGGCGGATTATTGTTTTGAAAAGTTTCTGAAGGATCCAGTGACTCCGACCCCGACCAATCAGTGACCGACAGTGTTCTGACGTCACGTTTTAGTACCTCTTCGTTCCGGTTAGAACCACAGAGCCAAGGGTACTGAAAATAGTAACAGGTGCTAAGTACCGGTACTAATGGAAAAGCCTCAGAACTGGGCCAAGTAGGGTCCAGTTGGCCCGTACCGGTACTAATGGAAAAGGGGCATAAGTTTGCTTGCAAATAACCATTTTACTCACTAGTTAAGCAAAAGTGATTAAAGGGTACATGTGTTCATACACAAAGAAAACAAACAGATATCAAAAACAGATACAGTGGAGGGAAAATGCATTTGGCATGTTTCTTGTCCCAATTTCTACAAAACTGTTACTCTAATGTCGAGGTATGAACATAATTGGGACGCAAAACCAAAGAATGTCCTGAACTGTGACACTCAATGTTGTTTTTCACAAGCTTCCATACAAATTTCTGAGTTTGAGCAAGGAAAAACACATGCAAAAAATGGAGGTAAGTAAAAGGCCGTTGTTTTAACAGACAGAAATGGTAGGCAAACTGGTCTACATACCAATGGATGCATGGAGGATTGATTTGTATTTCCACTGACAAGTGAGGATGAATGTGATGGGTAAAAAAACAAGAGGAGTCATTCTTAATTTTCTGGGTAATTGTCAGAGTTCTGTAAGAAGCATTAGGATCCTGGATTGTAGTGGATGTATGTACCGGTAGTTGTATACGGTAAGAAGAGTGAGGAGACAGGCATAAATGGATCTTCTGAGACTGATGCTTGTTTTATTTCCCAGGTGGAAGGAGAGTGGTACGAGGAGGATTCTCAGGATAGAGGACGAGGAACAAGGACGTATGGGCTCTGCCAGCAGGACTGCAAGGGAGCACTGGTAAGTTTTAGTCTTAAATTTCACTAGGAGAATTGTGTTAAAAAAAAAAAGATAAAGATCTGTGGGGTTGTAGCACGGGTTATTGCTGCTGTTGTTCGGCATATTGTTTTTGTACTACTAGTGCTTAAGAGTGTTCTTAGTATAGTGGATTTCTTAGTACATAGATCTTATTACTGTTTTTCTTTACAATTTATACTTTTGCTGGATGTCACTATGTACACAATTTCGTTCCACCACATGTACCACATGTGGTGCGAATGATCAAGAAACTCTGACTTTGACTTATTACCAGGGGATGTTCAACGTTCCAGCAGTGAGTACTAGTTCAGCTCCGCTTTAAATCCCCTTCGTCATCAGAAATGGATTAGATTCGTCTGGGCAGGAACAAGAGTGAAAGAAGACTCTGCAGGTCAATAAAGAAAACAGGATTCTAACACAAATCAAATTATGTTCTGAACTAAAAAAAAAAAGCTGTTTCTGTGAGTAGCAAGTCGGCCATCCTGCCTAAGACATTTGATTGTTATATATGAGGATTAGTGTGTAACAGTACACATGGGTGTATTGAACCGTTTCGGTACAGCGTGTTCAGTTCGGTCCACGTGCGTACTGTTTTGGTTATTTTTTTCACTCATTAAATTTTATTAATGATTCAATTCAATTCAATTCAGTTTATTTATATAGCGCCAAATCACAACAAAGTTGTCTCAGGGCACTTTACAGAAACATTCACATACATAAAAGCCAATTAGTAAAGTTTTCTATCTAAGGAATCCAGCAGACAAGTTGAATCTTGGCTTGGGTCCTTTTGTGTATGTTAAAAGCTTGCTTCTGAGATTCCAACAGGAATTTGGCTTGAAACACAGCAATGAAGACTACTTATGGGACAGATCTGGCTGGCAGGCCACAGACTGATGAAATCTTCTAGATGGAAAACAAAACTTTTCTCCCTCAAAGAAACTGGTCCAGATGACATGATTTAAAGCTTTTTTTTGTTATGTTCTGAACTGTGATTCTAAACTCAAGGTACATGATAGATATAATTTTTTTTCAAGGTTTTACTAAATATCTGTAACTCTGGCATTTGTTTATATACAATGATCTTAGTCTATATCAGTGGTGGATTCTCAATAGAGGGGAACTAGGGCACCACCCCACCACTCACATCTCTCACCATATTACATTGAAGACTAATAAAATAAAATAAAAGAAGAAGAATAAAATTGTGTAAGATAAATATTTTATAGTTAATGATGAAATAAATTGTTTCTTTCAAAAATGTCTCTGATTGGTGACATATTTCCGTCCTTGGTGCACAAGAATCTTAGCCCATAGGCTCTCGTTAAAAGTTGTACATGTGCAGTTAGCTCCTCTCTGTTACAAGAGATAGGACAATTCTGGGCACACCACTCCAGCGCCCTGAGTACCGGCACAATGTATGGATCGTGCTTCCGGTCCCACCGTCCCCGTACAGATTTATTTAGTTATATTTTATTTTTATTTAACTTTTTGTCCCGGAACAGATTGTGCAGTGACACTCACAACCAGATTATGTATGAAATATTATTTATCTGTCAGACAGCTGCACATTTAAAAGAGGCACATCATTAATTTTGATCAGGCAGACAGTAGGGAGACCCCACTACATTCAGTGCTGGGTTTGTTTATGCTGGCCAGGCTTCTGTGTAGAAAGGAGAAGGGACTGGAGGCAATGGTGAAGTGACGTAGAAAATTCTAACGGCAGTCATCATTAATGTACCTTATTGAAATATTATTTATACGTAACTGTCAGCTCTTTTAAATGAGGCACAGCATTCATTTTGAACAGGCAGATAGTTGAGAGACACGCTGCATTCGGTGCTGGGTTTGTTGATGCCGACCAGGGTCCTGTGTAGAAAGGAGAGGACTGGAGCTGCCCATAGATATAAACACTAGATACAGCATGGACCGCTATTGCCTATTGGCGCTGACGAGCCGTAGGGACGCCATTTTGGAACGATCACCCGCTTCACTCAGTGTAACCTGTTTGTCAGGAGCAATGAAGTATCTGCACGTTTAATCAGTCATAGCTGAATACTAAACTCATTCTCATGATTTTTTCCTCTGTAAATCTTAGGCGCACAGCCATTAAAGCTGAACACATGGTTCAGTGTTTTTAAATATTCTTGGTGGGGTTAACAGTAACACTAATAAAATATTCTTATGACAAGTTTTGCAAAACTCACAGTCACTGATACATTTTTATTAATATCTGTATATATACAACATATATGTCGTATATATGTCAAATATAGTGCAGTGAAATACTCTTCTGCACTTTGGAGACACTGGTATGACTGTCTCCTGCATGGTTAGGAACCTTTTTATCTGTATATTTTTAAATTTTTATTTTATTTTATTTTT